AGGGCAAATTATCATTCATAAGCTGTCAAAAGCAAGAACAGACTGTGAGGATGTGTGTCACTTGTTCTCCTTGTCTAGAAGACCTTGTAAAACAAACAAACAAAAAAATTGCACTTGGATTCTGCTTCTGAAGAATCCAATATGGAAGAACTGAAGAAGTGAGAAGCTGAAAACCAAAAGTAGGACTCAATAGACCGCAGAGTTCAGAGTCCCCAAAGACCCAAGGAGGGCGTAAGATACAAATTATGGCCAGCAAGGCAAGATTAGAGGATTGGAACGCTCAGTCTCACCCCCAGGGAGGAAGAAGGGGCTGATGGTGACGGGATCACCAGTGGCCAGTAATTTAATCAATCATACCTATGAAATGGAGCCTCCATACAACCCCAAAGGACAGGGTTCAAGAGCTTCCCAATAACTCCACATGTGAGATTCATGGAAGGAAAAAAAAAAAAAGTACAGGCAAAATAGCAAAAGAGAGAGAGAAAAAAAAAAGTCACATATAGATTCCATGAGTAACCTTTGTCTCTCCAAGTCAGTTGAATTGGCTAAAAACTCCTTAAAGTCCAGATTTTTCATCCACCATCCTTCCTCAGTGGTTCTTCTGGAATGTAGTAAGCACTTGCCTGGGTTTGAATTGTCAAGACTACTGTTCCAGCCCTTCTTGACTTTATACACAATTACTCATTCTATTGAAATACAGTAGGAATTCTCCTTCTACCAAAGAATGAGTTAATTTTTCACTGAAGTTGATTAGTAAGTTATTTCTCCAAGATTATTGACGTTGAGACCCTCTTTTCTCAAAAATAGAAAGAACTTGTGTGAAAAAAAAAAATTTGATTTATATTTAGAACAAAAAGTGAAAGAGAAAAAAGCCAAATGGAGGAAGCGCCCAATTTTTTCCTGCACACTCTTCTCCACTGTGTCTGCTCTTAATTCCTTCTCCTGCCACTACTTTCCATGTGGCTGCTCCCCATCTAGCCAAGCAAGAACGCTAGACTTTCCTTGAATTTCTATGAATCTACTTCCTGAGTTCTAATTGTTGTTTGCTGACATGGTTTAAATGCATGTTGATAAAAAGAGACATGTTTACAAAATACAGAGGTTTTAACTGACCTGTTTCCCCATCTGGAAACTTGAGGGAGATCCCTTCACATTTTTGTATTTTTATTTCATGATCAAAGAACTGCAATGTAATGACCATCTTATGGAAAAATTTTAGCCAAGGATTCTCTCATAGTTCCCCAGAAATGATAGTCTTCTAAGGAAGCATTAGGAGTATGTGAACCCTATATTACTTTAATCAGATTCTTAAAAGAACCTGTGAGCACAAAAGGGTTTTGGATTTTTGTTGTTCTTGTTTTTAAAACTATCTAGGATAAAAGAGGGCAGTATGAAAAATAATTCTCATTAGGGAAGTTCCAAATATAGTTGGGAAGCCAAACTTAATTTATCTGATACAATTAGCACCATAAAAGACAAACATTGAAAGAACTTCATTTGAAGTTGTAATTCCCAAAAGTCCAAACAAAGGCGGCGTGAGCAGCAGAGAAGACTTCCTCAAAGAGATGAGACTCACCAACTCTTCATTCCCCTGGAGTCTCCGTCAGGCATGTTAATGTTGGGCACAAAGATGCTCATGTTTTCTTCCCTAAAATGTTAAACTATTTTGGCATAAAGTGAAATATTACAGGAATTTGTAAATGTTTCTAATCTTCAATGCTAACATGCTCCTTTAAAAGCCTAGTTACTACTATACTGATGATGGTTTTAAGAAATGGTCACTCGTGTTACTTAAGCTGTGTTAGTTCTCCTCTCCTCCTATCTCTTTAAAACTGACTTTTAACAGTGAAGTTAGGTTGGGCAGGTGGTGCACATCTGTAATCCCAGTGGCTCCAGAGGCTGAGATGAGGAAGATGGAGAGTTCAAACCCAGCTTCAGAAAAAGTGAGGTACTAAGCAACTCAGTGAGACTCTGTCTCTAAATAAGATACAAAATATGGCTGGTTGAATGCCCCTGAGTTCAATCTCTGGGGCATCACTGGTTGAATGCCCCTGAGTTCAATCTCTGGTACCCACACACCCCGAAAAAAAAATGAAGTTTGTTTCCTTACCCAACAGTGTATCTAAACCTGACAGTTTTCACCCACCCCTACCTTGGGTGATTGGAGAGACAGACTCCTTTTACCTTGAACAAAATAGTTCTCTAGAATGCAACAGAATTCAAAGAGAACACCGTGTTCCAGTGTTTGAAGAATTGGAGCCACTTTTACGTTCTCTGAGCTTCTTCTCCCTTCCACCAGCAGGAGTAACTTCAGTGCCCATGCTGTATACATAGAGATTTATCTGTTTTAGATGATATCACTGTATTGTCTGTCGTGTTCACTGCATTTCCTGTTTCATCTTCCTTCTCAGGGACTTATGTACCTACTTGACTTCACAGGAAATACACTTAAATATGTAAAGTTTGGCATATTTTTTAAAAAGCGATTATGCTCTAAAAGCTAAAAATAAAAATATATTGGTGGATTATCAGTCCTACTTGGGAACTGCAGTCCTTACCTTTCTTGTCTCAGCCAAATATATTTCTTAAATGTGTGTGTTTGAGAGCTTGCTGAATTTATATTTTAAAAATTACCTTCATCTGTGTTTAGAAGTAAGGACCAATTGAAGGGAAATTCAGATGAATGAATTGAAACTCAAAGTTCCTCTCACCAGACTTGTCTAAGTGGCTTCATTGTTAACTAGAAATTGCTGGGTTTCTATTTATCATGTAATTTTATTTCCACTTATTGGTATAGAGCAAAAATCATAGAATGATCAAGAATAAGCAATTACATAGTACATGGTGAAAATACATTGGTAAAATTTGGTAGAAGACAGCGTCATATGTTAGGATTGATGACCTGCAAGGCTGGCCTAGTAATCTGTTCCCCACTTCACTAATATGTCACCTGCTTCTCCTTTTGGGGCATGGGTGCTCAAATATGTGTACACTTTGAAATCATCTGGAGATTTTTAAAAAATACTGATTCATGGGTCCCAATCCCAGAGATTTTGATTTAACACTCTGGAGTGAAGCTGTGGTTGTAGGTTAGTGGTATAACACTTGCCTCTCAAGTGTGAGGCCCTGGGTTCAACCTTCAGCACCACATAAAAATAAATAAATAAAATAAAGGGATTTTGTCCATCCATAACTAAAAATATATTTTTAAAAAATTAAATTTTGATTACGTTTTACGAGTGTCTTATAATTATACATAATAATGGGGTTCATTGTGACATATTCATATATGCACATAAAATAATTTGCTCCATTTCATTCCCTAGTGTTTCTTTCCTTCTCCTCCTCCCTCCCTCCTAATCCTCTTCCCCTACTCTATTGGTCTTCCTTCTATTTATTTATTTTTTTAAGTTGGTGCATTACCTTTATACATATAAATAGGACTCATATGACATATTCATATATGCACAGAGCAAAATTTGATCAATGTCATTCCACAGGGAAGTGGATTTTTTTAAGCTTCCCAGGTGATGTGCAGAAGGGCTGATAACCCCTGCTTCTATCCCCAACCTGCACCTGTGCTGTGAAATCTCTCTTCCAACTGATAGTTGATCAGAGGTGTTCCCGTCAAGGTAAAGAATGTCTCCATTTCAAGGCCTTCCTCTGCAAATGTGTTGTATCTGAAAGCCTGGTGACACTATTTCTTGCTTTGAACTTCCTCTTCCATTCATTCATGGGATATTCATTGTGTGCCAGAGACTGCAATCTTAGATTCCTTGACTAAACTTACGTATATTCTGACCATGCCTCAAGCAGCACCCTTCTTTCCAGGAAGTTATCAAATTCTCTACTTCTGGTATTTGCTCCCTGTCCTGGCTTTCTGTCTTGTCCCACTATAACACTATATATATTTCTAATGACATCTTGAATTTGAAAAATATTTTTATTTTTAGGAACTAATAATAAAAAACACCTGTTTAAACACATTATTTTGTATAAATGTAGTAGGTTTAGCTTAATATCAAGTATAGAAATGTAGTGACCCTACACTAAAAATACACTATAGTACTTAAATCTAGAAAGTTATAAACTCAAACTAAGGAATCAGATATCTTTCATTTACAATGCAAAACATAGATGACCTTTGCATCAGAACTAACATTTTTATCAGGCTATATATTTAATACAAAAGAGTAAAGTCTACATATCAGGATGTGTTCAGAGAGGTGCTATGAATGATTGGAAAGAATGACAGTTTGGATTATAATAAAATGCCATTGGCATATCTAGTTTACCAGTGTCAGAGATAGGAGTGTCTGCTGTCAACAAATATCACCCTCAAATTAATACACAAAGTAGATTGACATGTTCTTTGCTTTATGAGTGAAATGAATGGAATTCTATAATAAGCTTATTAAAAATTTTACCATTTTAGTACCACCTATATGAGTTTTAATATATTTAGAGTTGTTGATAAAAATGATCTTTATCCTTTTTTATGGGAGGATGCTTATTTTTTACACAAGTGCTATGTACTCAATATAGAAAACTTGAAACAATCACAGGTGTACAAAATGATTACTTTGTAACAATACTCCACACAAGTCAACCACTATTAACATTTTAGTATACATCTTTCATAGACAACAGAACAGACAGATTTCATAGACAATAGGACAGAGAGAAAAACATACACACATATACATGTATACATGTATCCCCAAATACAGATTTTTAAATAAAACTGGTAATAATGCCCACAGACTTTAATATCCAGGCACCTTTTTAAAAGATTTTCATCAATCTTTTAGACTTCAAAGCTTCACCTATTCCTGTTTTCACATTACTACAGTATAACAGTGAGATAAACCTGGCCAGTTATACAAATGTTTCGAGAGCTGAGATAACATGCAAATACAGCCTTCCATATCAATGTGTGAAGGCTGGTCAGACCACACAGCTCAGAAAGGAAGTACACCCTTCAGAGCTAAACTGCATATTCACTGTCCAAGTCACAGCATCACCAGGGTCACTGAGTGCCAGGCTCATCCACTCTTTTCAAACACAATGGTAAGTAATAGATTTTCTGACTCTCCTGCTCTCTTGCCAAACATCCGCTGGTATTCTCCATCAAATGAGAGGGGGTGGGGTGTCTCATGGCCATGTCCTCCAAGTCTTTGGAATTTTCGCTCCTTTCATTTCTGTTCTGTGTGCTAAGGAAGCTGCTGAGTCTTTATTACACCCGTTGAGAGACTGTGGCTTCAGGAGTTCCCCTTTCTGACTAGCTGTCAGAACAGAGGAAGACCGCTATGTTTTGCAAAAGAAAAGTTGTATTCTTTGTCTTTCTTTGCCTCTTAAGAGAGTTGGGTGTCAGAACCAGTAACAAAGTCAAGTTTCCTAGGATGAGCACTTTGGAGCTCAGAAGAGGGCTTCAGTGGCAGACATTGGGCAGTATTGCTGAAGGTGGGTGCCATTTTGATAACACAGGAGATTTCGCAAAAGCAGTTCTCTTGCTTGAAAAGTGTATTTTATTATTTTAATTAAAGAAGCAAACAAAACTCAAATAGTCCAAATTTTAGGGACATATGGTGTTCCCAAAATTAATTGAAAGTCATTATTTGGAGCACACTGAAATAGAGTGGGTTTCCAGGGGTATCATAACAATCATTTAACCTATAATGTGGCTGAACTACAGTACCAATATTCTGCTTCATGGTTTCCTATTATTTCTCTGTAAAAACTCAACCCACAAAATATATATGTGGAATTAATGCTTCCTGAGTTCAGAAGACAGCTCATTTTCTACCCTGTATCATTTCAACCCCCCATAGACCAGAGATGCCTTGTCCTTTCTCTTACTGTAGAGAGGATACTTTCCTTTGCGGGAGTGCAGTGTTGGAGACAATGGCTCCCACACTTGCTTGGTTGGAATAGGAAGAGCAAAGGGTTCATCCCAGGTGTTCGTAGTCTGAAAGCCCTTCATTTCAGGATGGGGAAAGTATAGAGGTGAGAAAGAAACCTTCTGGGGCAAGAGAGGAAGGAAGAGAGAAGGGGTCAGAGTTGCAGAGTCATAGGGGAGGGGAGCGACCAGGATGGGGAGATGGCAGCACACCAGCCTCTTTGTAACAGCCCAACCTGTAGAGGAAGGCAGTCATCAGCAGAGGTGTGACTTACAAATCCCCACAGGGCTTTCAAACCAAGACTTTGAGTCCAGGACTCTTAAAATAACAGCTTCAAAGATATAGAGAACATCAGAGGAGTAAAAGGAGATGGAAAGGTAAGGAGGAGGGATGAGGGAAGAAGAATTAAATGAATTTAATAAACTCACATTATATACATGTATGAATATGCCACAGAGAATTTCACCTTTATGTATATGTAGAAAGTGTCAATCAAAAACAAAGTTACTAGAGAAAGGAGGATCAATAGAGTAGAGGAAGAGAATAAAAAGAGGGAAGAGGGGGAGGGAGAAGTGGGCAATGGGGATTGAAATCAACTTTCTTGCATGTAGGATTTTGTCAAAATAAAACCAACTACTATGCATAACTATAATGTTCTAATAAACAAAACAGCTTGACCTTAATTACTAAGATCTTCAAAAAATAAACAAGGACACTGTTGCTCACAAAGAGGGAGAATATAATGGATTTTTTTTTTTTAGTGGAAACAAAATGACAATAGAAGAAAAGAGAGTTTAACTTGATAGTGTGCATTTCTTGTAATATATACGTGATGTTTTCCCAAAATAATTATGGTTGCTTATTATAAAGTAACACATATTCAAGATTCGGAATATAGATATGCAGAAATGAAACAGTAAACTCTTTCTATAGTCCTCTCACTTGAGAAACAATCATTGTTAAATTAGTACTGATCTGTGTATAATTTCATCATTTAAAATATGTACTTTATAATTTTCTGTTATCATACTTTCATTTCCTCACCTGCCTTTTTATTTAAAAATATCTTAAATGATAGATCTAAGTTATGATGCAATTTTTAATGATTAAAGCATTGTTGACAATTATGTGGTATTCCATAATTTAGCTTAGTTTTTTCCATAGGATTGGAGATTTTTGATTGCTTCTCTTTTCTTTAGTGTAATAGAGTTGGAAATTTTGGTTAGTTTTATTTTTCTTTCTCTTTCTTTATGATAATATAGACTAGATTATCACAAGCATTCTTTTATGTACATTGATGATTTTCTATTCACAGAACTATCAGAAAATTAAGTGAAAAAAACACATATATTTAAGACTTCTAACTCTAGTTTCTTCTTGATAAAAAACACATTTTAAGTTTTCTTACTAATAATGGTAAAGCGAGTAAATTTCTTAGTGCAATTATGGAATCTACGTGCCTACCTTTGTATATATTTGCCTCTCTTTGTAGATTGTCAAGGTTATATTTAAAAAGAAAGTATTTCCCTTTATTTTCTTCTCCCCAACATTACCTTTGATGTTCTACAACAATGGCAGAAATACATTATTTTTTCTCTTTGAAAGACTCCATAACACAATCAAAAGACCACACTTTAGTTGCTTGTGATTAGCTTCACTCACTAGTGTAGGTCTTTTCACAAGTCACATAAGTTCTGAGTTTGTTTCTTCATCCGATGATGATGGTGGTGGTGATAATTATCCTGCAGTATTAGTGTAGACAGTAAGATTGAAGGCACACACCAGACACTGGATGAATGGTGGCCCCTTCCCATCCCCAATCCAAGTATTAATGTCTAAAGGAAGCACAGAAACTCCCAAGGAGCACAGGGGGAGAAAGATACTGGCAGTTAGGAGTAGTGAGCCCTCACATACACTATGTCATTAAATTCTATAGCAATTTCTATAAACAATGACTGCTATGATTCCCATTCTATAGCTGAATAAACTGAGTTTTGAAGAGGGTGAGTAGCTTGCTCACAGCCACACAACTACTGAACATCGGGACTGGAATATGAGCACAGTTCTGTCATCTCTCAGAGCCTGAGCTTCTCTGCATTACGTTGCATCCTACAAAGAGTAGTTACATAGGGAGACAACCTGGTGGTCAAAGGAAAGTCCAGGACTCACCATTATGTGTGTGAAGGGCCTTTCCCAGGCTAGTGCTCATCCCTGGGAGAGCTGGAATCAGCTGTCAGAGCTGCCTCTGCTGGGCTCACTGCAAGTTTTTCTGTTTTCAAATGCTCACTTCATTGAAATGTGACAGATGCCCCTGGGAGAGGAGCCTGCAGGAGTTGCTGGCAATGGTTTCTTCACCCCAGGATTCAGAGAGGGGGGTTCAATGGTTAAATTACTCTCCTCCCCTCAGCTCACCTTTTGGGTGACTGCTGTGACTAATAACCACCTCCCCCAGGCTGAGTTGTCCAGAGGACACCATCCACGGGGGTGGGGGTGGGGGTTCAGTCATGGCTCAAGTGGTCATGGGAAATTCACCTTTTATTGCCTTCTCTCTGTAACTTATATTAGTAAAACTATGGAAATTTGTGAGAATGAAGCAGAAAGGCATTATCGTGTTATAAGGATAAATTTACCAGATTTTAAGGTTCATGAGCTTTAGGCACACAGTGCTGGGCTCATCTTCCAACCTGGCTCAGTCTCTCACTTCTCCCTTTGGGAACTTGGCCCAGTCTCTTCAACTGTCTCTCTCCAGTTCAGCTGGTCCCTGATGTTCTTCAAATTATGATGCTAGAATTCAGAAGTGGGAGAACAGGGCTGTAAGATCCTACTTTTGAAACATCTGTCCTTACACAAATCAGCTCAATTCACAGTTCTAATCTGAAATAATAGAATGATAGTTGTTCATGTGACAGATATTTTTAGGTACATTTCAACTGAGATCTCTCTAAAAAATGGAGAAGCAGATATTCTAAAAATGCACAAAAAATGTTTGTATGCTCACAGTGAGGAGAAAAATCGTTTATGTATAAACCTTAGAAGGTTTTGAGAAATGAGGTAAAAATTGTTTGGGTGGGGGATTTTTGGTTTGTTTCTCTCCTTTCTTCTAACCTTCAATCTAGATGTGAGATTCTGGCAGGAGAAATATGCTCAAAAAGTGCTATTTCTCATTCATTCAACAGAAGAGCCCTGAGCCCCTACTGCTAGGCAGGAAGGTCAGAGTGAACAGCACACAGGGCCTGAATTCCCAAAGCTTCTAGTTTCCGCAGTGGTTCTCAAACTTCAGCCTGAAAGATCAGGGGTGGGGCCTGAATTTTTTTTTCTTTCTTCTTTTTTTTTTTTTTCTTTTGTACTAGGAGTTGAACCCAGGGGTGCCTAATCATGAGCCACATCCCTAGCCATTTTATGTTTTATTTAGAGACAGGGTCTTGCTAATTGTTTAAGGCCTCACTATGTTGCTGAGCCCAGCTTTTGAGCTTTTGATCCTCCTACCTCAGCCTCCTGAATCATTAGGGTTACAGGTGAACACCACTGCATGCAGCTGGGGCCTGCAATTTTGTATTTATAATAAGTTGCCAGCTGACACTGATGCTACATGTCCAGGGCTTATGCTAGGAGATGGATTGCTCCCTAGAAATGATAGACCAAAACATCAAAGTTAAACAGAAAGGTACGTAAATTGTGCTGATCTCTGAAGGAGGTAACTAAGGAACTGAGATGGAAAATAGAGGGGAGACATCATCTTTGGTAGCTGTCTGATCTCTGACCAGGTGAGGTGTAAGACAGAGCTATGACTCTCCACTGACTACACATTGGAATCACAGGAGCAGCCTATAAAACATGAGCCACCTCAAGATCCCACCCTAACCTAACCTGAGGTGGGTACCCAAGAATGGATGCTCCAAAGCGTGGAAATGGGCTGGCCATGAGGAAAGGGGGGTTAAAGAGTGTTTCAAGCTGGGGAAGTGTCAGGTGATAAAGATATGAGGCAGGAATGAGCTTGGATCTGAAAAAAGACCAGGATAGTAGTAGGATACGCAGGAAAGGACAGTGACAAGAGGTGGTTTAAGAGATAGGTAGGTGGTGATCACTTGATTGCTAGGACCTAAAGGTTGTAGTTCATTTTAAGTGCTCTAACAAAATGTTTTAAACTGGGTGGTTCATAAACAACAGAAA